CGGGTCCGAGCGTTTTTTTCGTAAATGACCTGAGGTGCCCAAAATTGGCTCTGTTTCGTTTTCAAATGACCACGCTGTATATATACGAGTACAATATATGTATATTAATAAATCATCAACAATTTCCTTTTTAATTCATGATAATTAATAATTGTTTTATATTGTGTTTCTAATTATTTCATTGGTACTCTACCACCGCAGCACCACTGAATACCAGTGGTGGCTGCACCGAGCATATAGGGTTGCCAGATGCCAAATATTCTGATTTAGGTGGGAGCCTCTAAACTACCGATTGTTGATACTCCCGTCTGCCACTTCAATTCTCAAAATTCCAGCAATTCGAAATTTGACAATACCTTCTTTTTCAAGAAAATTTTCACAAAATCAACGCTTTAAAATGGCTTTTAAAAAACCGGTAAGTGGGATTTGAAGGTTGGGGGGGGGATTCCCACATAGACGCCGGGCGGGCGCCTATGAGAAGGGCAGTTTTATGATAGTCATTATACGTTAAATGTTCATGTAATCAGTTATATGTATAGTTGAATTATTGTAAAGTTGAGTTGAAATAAATTAAGTTACCAAAAATCTGCGTAACAATTGTGAACTTATTGATGTAATTTGTTACTATTTTAACACACGAAGAAGGTTAATAACAATGAATATTTTGCACTACATACTTTTATTATTAATATTCTCACTTGATTTACATTTTACATAAAGTAGATTCAAAAAGGGCCCAGGTTTTTTATTTATTTTATTAATATATTGCTCAAGACGTATAATAAAGGTAAGTGCTGATTTAAAAAATTCTTTTTAACTTGTTATTTTATCTTTTTATAAGTAGACCAATGACATATAAAATGCAATGTGTGCACTTGTTCAAATTATCGAGAAAATTACGTTCAACTTATTTTATACATGGTTTTGATTAATCAATATTGGTCATTTATACAAAAGAATTAAAACAAGTTTCGCTGAACATTCAATAAATTAGATACAAAGCAATCATGACGAGGATACTTCCTGATCATGACCTTTTCTTGAGGACGAAACTGGTATATTATTAAAATAATTATATATTTTATTGAAAAGTGTTTGTTTAAAAAACGTAATATTCTTTATATTGGGATATTTAAAAAAAAAAAGGTACATGTAGTAGATATCACTGTCCTCAGTAAGTAACAATTAAGGAGCTTTGGTGTAAAACTGAATAAATCCATTATAAACGATTTTTGGGAAAACAAAATTTTCCAATTGTACAAAAAGTACTGATTTTTTTCGTTTGTTTTGTTAAAACAATACTATTGGAGACGTCATTAATAATATACCTTTGCAATTATAATTTTGAAAAATGATTTTTGTTAAAAATATGACAAAAAAAATTGATTTATTCAGTTTTACTCAAATAAAAATTTAAAACTAGCGGACTAATATAAGAAGAAAAACAAATCAAAATATATAAATATCTCTTACAAACTGCTTTTAAACTACAGCGAATGCCGATGTGTTGTTTACACCACTTTGTTAGTGGATTTATAAGGTTTGGCATAAAAACATCAATTTCGATCATGAATTTTACAAAAAATTATTCGGTTTTGCTAGGACAGGAAGTCTATAAAGATGTAATTCAACAAAGTAAGTTGAAATTCGTCGCTAACTTAATTTTCATAAAAAAGTTTATTCGGTTTTGCTCCAAAGTTCCTCAATTTAACACTGACAATTAAGAAAAAAGAAAACCCAAACAACTTTAATTGAGGACATTTGAGTTCAAATGCCACATTTATTTCAATATGAGATACATTCAGAAATATAAAAAAAGGGATTTAATTTTGAATGTTGTTTACATTAAAACTTCGTAATCCTGTATACCTCCTGCACTAAAAAGGGTCTACAGTAACGAGCAACGTGGTAATTATAATACCCCACAATAACTTTTCAAAGATAATCTTAAAAGATAACGATCTATCACAAATATGTGTAAGTAGTCAATGAGTTGAAAATTTGTTGTTTACAACTCAATAATATTTAATTATTAAATCATTAATAATCGGAAATATAATTAATTATTGGAGAATCCTTGTCCTAAAATTCAAAGATTATTTTAACATAAAACAAATAAAAAAATAGATATTATTATATTTAATTGTCTTTATTTAACCAAAAAACTAATGTATTAATATTTCCAATTACAAGAGTACCTACGTTTTATGCGAAGAAAATATTGCGAGATTTAAAAAATAATATTAAAATAACGATTATGTCACCAGTGACATAGAACTTAGAGAGATGAAACTTTCCTCCCTCACATTCTAAAAAGAAATAAGTGTCAAAATAAATGACAAATATTTTTAAATTTTGAAATAAATAGACTGTATCTCATTATAAACCAGTGTTTAACGTAAGTCAATGATTCTCCAGTTATTCTACGGACCACTATTAATGAAACATACTGTGTATTATATTGCAAGTAAACGTATATTAGGTTTATGATTTCTATATACAGTTTAAAAGAAGTATCAACTTAGGAATCACCCTGTATAAATAGGCTATACGCATTACCGTATATTAAAATTTCTTTATCGGCCGGCTTGAAGATAATTACGATCCTGAAAAATCGATCTCAAAAATATACAGGGTGGTCATTAAATATGTAGTCGAACTTAAAAGGCAATATCCCTTAATCACAATTTTTAGACAAAACGTTCATAACATAGGTACTAAACGGTATTATTTTGAAAATACAGGAAAAATTAAAAAATATACGTTTTTCCTAACTTCTTGTTATGCTATACAAATGTCCACTAAATTTTCAACTTGATACTAATTTTCGTCTTTTAGTCAAGAAAGACATTTTTTTTATATTTTCAACATTTAGGCTTTACGTTTATATAAAGTTTTTGTCTTAAAATTGAGAAAAGAATGGCACCTTAAAGTTTGGCCTGTGTACTACTCTATGAGTTCAAAATAAATTTGGCAGCAAAAATAAAATAAATAAGAAAGTAATCATACGTACTTGTAGGTATCACTATTGTAAATAAAAAATCTTAGTTCCATATCTTGTGCAAATTAATAATTACGCATAATTAATTTTTTTAAATAAAAATATTTCGCAAATAAAAGCTCAGAGATGCTAGTTTTACGTCTTACACTGTTGCCAAGTCGCACAAAAAGTTTACTATCCACTTCTTATCAAAAGTACAGCAATTCCTTTCTAATAATTTTCCTTGCCCTAATATTTTATAATACAGCTATTGATATGTTGTTTTACCCACCCAGAACCCCTATTCAATCTCTTTCCCGTAAAATTGATAATATATTAATTATGCATATTTTTATTTAAAGAAATGATTTGTGTCCTTATTATTAATTTGCAAAAGATATAGAACTTGCGTGCGTATGCTTAGTTTTTCCGTAATCGAAAAGAACTCAACCCAGACAACTACAGTTCATAAACAATTTGAGTTATCAACTCAAAACACAAGTCAACACAACTCAAAATTCACATCTTCTGATTTAATACCATAATTCTAATTAGTAAACAACCCTACATCAAAACCTCAAAAATGACACAGGCGCCATTTAAATGACGAGTGTCTTCAAAGCTAAGTTAAAACAATTTTGATGATTGGTGTAGGATTGTTTGTTACTCACATTCATGGTATTAAACTCAAAATATGTTAATTTTGAGTTGTGTCACTTTTGAAGCAAGGGTGCGCCATGTATCGTAAATAATTTTAGGATCAAGTAGTAAAGTAATTAACCCTGTGGATCTGTGTGTGTATCCCTCACGTCACTCATCTTGTCATCGAAAATGTTTATTCTAATAGTCTAAGACATGGGCGTCCGCAGGAAAACTATCAGGGGAGGGCAATCAAAAAGTTCTGTTTGTCAACAACTAAATTGGATAATGTATACAAAAATAATAATAGTGAATTAACAGGAATTAACAAAACGAAAAGCTAGGGGAACAACCCCCCTTTTTCCGGACGCACATGGTCTAAGAATCGGCCGCCTACATCAAAATTACAACAAATATTTTTGGAGAGAGTGCAAACAAAGGCATTCCTAGTTATTGTTAAAGAGAAGGCTGTCAGATTCCATTTGACAATAATTGTGCCAAAATACAAGCACTTTTCGCAAAACGCGCGATTTGTCCCTACGGTACTAACACAGTACCTAGGTACTATACATAATCTTATTTCTTCGCGACATAAATTCAAATATAGGTAGGTATTATAAATTACAGAAATTTAAAGCTATTTATAGAAAAATAAAACTATTAAAAATAAATCCGGAAGTAGCACATTTTCGTAAAATTACAAATACCTACAAATAGGTACCTGGTTAACATATCAATAGATAAAAAAAATTATGACCATGAATAAACAGCTTATTATTTATTAAACAAAAAAATTCAATGACTTGAAACAGAAATAATGGTTAGAAATCGCTTACACGAGCATTTGTATTAACAATTTCTCCAAGTATAACAAAAACAACTACAAATAAAACAAAAAGTGCAAGGTATATTTAAACAGGACAACTAGCGTGTCATACTGTAATACTTTAAAATCGCTTATACATTCAAAAGTTTGAACTGTTCCTAAGGTGCATGAAAATTTGTTTTGAAATCATAGACGATTTTATTGACAAAACAAACGAAAGTTGCAGAAGAAAGGCCCATCAATAAATATTAAAGGCAATTCAAAATAACGCGTAATGTTCACCAAGGCTGTCTCAAGACCCATTATAAAATTTAAAACGAGCGCGCGACAAATTTTTAAATTGCTATTACGAATTTATTCGTAAAAGTTTCCTGCCCAGCCACCTAAGCACCAAAATCAGGTAAAACGATCGATTTATTGACGGTTTTCCGCTATAAACTAGATAAATTTCCATGAAAAATCGTTCACATGATAGAAACATTGTTTCTTAAACGATTCAGGGGCGTTTTAAACTATATTTTCGTTTAGAAATATACAATAAATATAAAAACTTACCTTCTAGTGTTTATCACTGATAACAGTACACGCCATGTTGGAAATTAATGTCAAATATCAAACTGAATGGTGTTTACAAACCTTGTCATGTGACAAACAAACGAAACATCGACATGCGCTGCGGAAATCGCACAACGCACACGCGATTATTCATTCCGAACTCCGAACAACGTGTCTGGTAAACCGTAATTCGAACGTAGCCTAAGAACGAAAATCCTCTGTCACAGTGTCTACGAACCGGCAACGCAACGGCAGGAGCGGCGTATAGTTATGAACACGGTAGCTAGAGCGCAACAAAATCAGCTAATTTTTACCACTACCACGATGCACAGTTAAAATTTCGCTCTACTCGCCACTGAACGGTGTTTCCGACTGCGATGAACAGCAACAAACGACACAATTGTAACAACCACCCCCTACGAAACAAATCTTCATCGCAGACCGGGGATAAAGTTCTACCGAACTTATTAATCTCCAAACCCCCATAATTTGGAAAAGCATATTTTCTACGTGGTGTAACAAAATGTTTTACAGAGCTATCTGTCCTTCCCCTAGATTTTGTTTCTATCGTACTTTTAGGCAGCTCTTCTTTCTGTTGTCATCTTTTAGTAACAATAAATAAAAAAAAATATATTTAAAAATGTACTTTTTTATCTTATACCATTTCTACTGTTCATTTTTGTATTTTGGCGTCAGAATTAAGCATTCCAAACAAAATGCTTGCCTAATGAAGGTGACACCCAAGCCCCAATTTTACACGTAGTTCAGTGCGATACAGTTGATCACAATGTATGTTCTTTTTATTAGGTTCTCCTTTTACTTATCTAGTGCTTTAATTTAAAAAATGTCTACTCGTAAAACGAGCATTTTTTGTTCAAAATTATGTACAAAAACAACTTAACGAAAGTTTATGTGTGTCAAAACGACAAGACGTTGAAATGTCTAATTGTGGGTTTAGGTACCCTCAATAATTGTTATTTCCAAATATGGCCTCTCGATTTTTTTATAAATGGCTATCTTAAAGGTATAATTTGGAGTTCACAACATATTTAAGGAATCTAAAGAATGGATAATAATGCAGTAATATGATGGTGATAAAATCGGAGGCGGATTTACTATTTTTGGGGTGGCGATGATTTCGTGATTCTTCATTACCGAAATTTGGTACATTAATAAGAACAAAAAATCTCTAATTTATTTTTGTTATAAGCTAAATGTGGTTTTTTAGTTCACTTATGAGATTATTTAGTTTTTTAATATTGGAACGGAATGAAAAAATTAAATAGCCACATTGTTTGCATTTGTATGGTTCTACAAAGAACGGTTCAACAATTCAAAATATCAAAATGTACCTATGTAATATTATATAAAATGGCCTTTTTTAAGTTTTTAATAAAATAATATGTTTTATTACATAATTTTACATTTTGCCGCTATAGGCAGGTGTCTACAGGGCCTATTGGTAAATCCAGCCCTGCCTTAGATAGAATTGATTAAACGATTTCAGGATTTTGTGTCGAATCCGAGGGATCACAGCAGAGCTGACGACGGACCTGTAGAATTCTTTGTTAATTTTAACCCTATGGGATGTTGCCACGTCTTCGTGAAACTACACATCTCTCATTCCATGGTTCTGTCTATTAAAATGGTTGTTTCCCAGAGTCGTTATGGATAAAAAACTTCGCTAAATGGGGAAAAAGATGCGTATTTATTTACTACTTCTTCAAAATTATATTAGGTTTATTTTGAAGCTTCTACTAGACTAATCCATTCATTAATAATTAAGCCCTTTTTTATTGCATTCATTCAGATTGTGTTTATTATTACGTAGACAGAGCTGACGCATCGGTTGTCGCATTAGAAAGAAGGAGACTGCTGCGAGAGTAAGTGTTCTGTGCTGCTGCGCCACTGATCTGTAATACAGATCCGTGTGCTGCGCTAATTTGAGTGGGGATGGTTTGTGTATGGTTACCAGAAGTCCGGATTTGCCTAGACATGTCCGGGTTTTTACTACGTCCCAGTGTGTCCGATTTTGCATAAGCGTCCGTATTTTAAAATAGTTATCTTTAGCAACAAAAAAAAAAACAGAAAAATCAGTTACCTAGATCATAAAAATGATGTCATTAAAAAATCGTCTATAAACGCTGTAATGTAAAACCCCCTAAGCGGCTGAAGAAGATTTTTTAGAGTTGTAAAAGCAGGTGAATTTCTTTTCGCAATCCCGTCCCACAATGCCAATGAGGAATGAGAATTTTTTTTGCTTATTGCAACCCAGTGGACAAATTAAATAAATAGACTGCTTTAAGTCTCTAAAAGAAATAGATATGACTAGTTATAAATTAAGGGTGAGATTACAGAACGTCTGCAACTTTGCATCTGCAACTTTGCAAATATGGCGGACTTACAAATGTAAGTATTCCAAAAAATACTGCAAATTCGCAATATTTATTGTGGTTTATTACCTCCAACAACACTAAACCCAAATTTGGAATACGAAAACTTGATACTTGCATGTGTAAGTCAGTCATATTTGCAGATTTTCAAAGTTGCCGCCATATTTGCAGATCTGCAAAGTTGCAGACGTTCTGTAATCTCACTCTAAAGATATAAGCTGTTCACAGTTTTAAGATTTTATGTTTTACCAGAAAATTTAAAGCTATTAACGTATATAATAAAAGTTTTAACAAAAATTGCCTTCTTTTTTAAAAGCATTTGCAATAAGGAGGGAATTTTTGTCCAAACTTTTGTTACATACGCAGGGCCGTTCTTAGGGGTATGCAAGTTGTGCAGGCACAAAGGCGGCCAAAATTAAGGGTGGCCGCAGGCCGTCGGTAAAAACAGTTAATATTAGGTATGTTCCAACAACGATCAGAAACTAGTCATTGACACCAGGATTGTGCGTAATATAAATTTGGAGGTCTAAATAATCTACTGCGCATAATTCTGGTGTCAATGACTGGTTTGGGATTCGTTATTGTAACAAACCTTACATTTACTTTTTGAATATAAAATTTAATAGTAGCTAAGCTTAAAACTTTAAACCATCTATAGTATTCACAATGCAATTTGTTTTTATATGCTGCAATATAATAAAAATGGATCTATTGTATATTTTTGGTTGTTCAGTTTACCAAAAATACCATGTGTCTCTACTTCCGACAAATAAAAAGCCGCTACTTTATCTAAAGAAATTGACGTATAAGGCGAAAAAATCAATTTAGTTATGAAATTTCATACGATGTGAACTAAAGAAAAGAATAAATTAAAATAAATTGATATTACACTGCAATAGCTAGAGCTCGCATATCAGTAGAAAAAAGTTTCAATCTTTACCGCATTGTAACAATGTTTACAACTTTTTACTACGAGCAGCAACCCGGCTTAGCAGTTCACTATTGTATATCGATATCTGTAGTCGCCGGCAGTTAGTACTTAGATCTATGACTATTCAAGGAATATAAAAGCCCAAATAAACTGTTCGCGTAATTGCGTACCACAGCTGGCAGGCGCTATATCAATGAGTACGAGGTTTAGCGTGGGGTGCGCTATCTTTCGGAGGAGATGTAAAGCCGTCGGTCCCGAGTCCATTGTAGTTGGACTCGTTAAAGATCCCTACTTTTTATGGGAACACCAAAGGATTCTGATAAGTCGACTTTAAATAAATCAATAAAAAAATAAATACTACGGTTTTATGAAATGACACCCGACAGTTTAAAACAAAAATAACGTTTAAATATTTAACGGATAAAAAGGAACCGACAGTTATTTTAAAATTTATTTATCTGCAGTAATAAATTATTATTATTATTATTATTATTTACTGACATGAGCTGAGAACCGAAATCCTATAAAGCTCATATTCAAAAAAATTTTACTTAAAAATAAACAATTTTTTTTTATAAACTATAACTATAAATTGATAATAAAAAAAAATTAAAATAAAAGTAATTTATTGTGTCTATACAGATATATACATACTTAGCCTAATGAATCAAATTGGTTTTTAAACGAGTTAACTGAATGTGCGCATACAACGTTATCAGGTAAATTGTTCCATACAGAGAAAACTCGGTTTGAAATAAAATTTTGCCTAACTCTAGAGTTAAAATTTTCCTTTTTTAATTTGAACATGTGCCCACGTAGGCGAAGGTCATTATTTAATACAAATAAATCCGAAAGATCGACACCGAACATGTGCCTAATTGCGCGAAAACAAACGATTAAATCACCACGCAGTCGACGCTCACTAAAAAGAGTCAGATTAGCAGTAGACAGACGCTGTTCATACGGTGGCCTTCTTATACCATACGGAAGCCTTGTTGCAAGTCGCTGCACATTTTCCAGCCTATTTTGATCCGAGATTAATACGGGACACCAAACAGGACCACAGTACTCCAGGCGAGGACGAACATATGTTGCGTATATTTTCAAAAACGTTGAGGGAGAAACATTGCCAAAAGTCTTTTTTAATAAGAATAGTTGAGAGTTTGATTGTTTGCATACTGATAATATATGCTCTGACCACGTTAGTAATGATAACGCCGAGATCATTTTGGGACGATACTGTCTTTAAGGCATTATTATTAATATTATACACTAATTTAGGATTGTTTTTACCGATATGAAGAACAACACATTTATCAATGTTTAGCGGTAATAACCACTCTGAACTCCACTTTGATATCGCACTTAGATCAGATTGAAGAGACTGATGGTCCGCAATTGGATTAGCGTAGATTTTTGTATCGTCTGCATAGAAGAAGCAACAGCTTTTTATGTGCACAGAAATATCGGCAGTATATAATAGAAAAAGTAGGGGACCAAGGACTGATCCTTGAGGCACTCCACTGACAACGGATTTGGTTTGAGAGAAACTATTACCAACTCTTACGCGAAATTGTCTGGAGGTTAGGTTAGGGAGGTAAATGATTATCATTATTCCCCAATTTAGTTGTAAATTTGCGAATATTTTTAAATTTACTAGTAACAGTAAGGAGAGCAATCATTTTCCAAATTAAAAAAAAATTATCTGAGATTTACCATGTCACAGGAACGGCTCAGAAATGTAAGCATAACAGCAATTGAAAGTGATATGTGTTAGAATAAATTAAATCACTCGTAACTTATTGACAAGTACGTAATACACGTGTTTAGTGAAAACGTTGAGGAAGGTCGTAGCACTGGATGAGAACAAAGGAACCATACTGTCAACTGTCATTAATGTCCATAAAAATAACACAGTGGTCATTGAAATTATTAAAGCATAATTTTGAAAATGAAAGAATTTTAATTATTTAACATAATAGAGCATAGGGACGTTTATATATTTCTCTATCGATTTTATATTTTTTTTGTTTTTTTCAGGAAAATATTTATTTGTCTTCGATTTGAAGAATTTTAACCCAGCCTACTCAAACCCTCGTTTTTGAAGTGTATATAATTTAATTAATTGACACATTCAAAGCATGTGTCACCTTTACATGTAATTCTATCTATTTCAAAATCTTTTTTTTAGAAAAAATCTATTTCAGCGATTTGAGAAACTTAACCTTATTCCTCATTTTGAGAGTAAAAGTAAT